CCCCATTCAAATGTGCGTGAGGATCGGGCGATAATTACGACCTGCCGACAATTTTTGGTTTGGTTTTTTTTGGTCCATTTCAACCCCTAAATATATGACGATCATCTCCAAAAAGAGTAGGCTTCTATTCTGACCCTCATTTTATCCCCATGCAAAATTTCGTAAGGGTCGGTCCATAAATGCGATCTGTATATGATATCCTGATATCTCAACTACTTAGTTTTGTTAGCTGTAGAAATATTACCAAATGTTTAATTCAAAATGAAAATATTGGCATAAATGTGACAAAATTGAAAAATATGAGAAAATTTTAAAAAATCAATATTTTCATCTTTAGAGAGATATTTTTATGCGATTTTTTAGACGTTTTTTCTTTCCTGCCAAGAGGCCATTCTGAATTAATGAGAACTGTTGAAATCAGTTCAGTCGTTCTCGACATATAAGAGATCTTTCAAGCATATCTTCTTTGATAGACATATATATCGCACATATTTTGCTATATATCCGATTTGATGGATGTTAACATCAATGTAAAGATCCGAGGTAACCTTGTCATTGCTTTGTGATTTCGCCGGGATTTAAAATATTCGCGGTTTAATGAAATTTTTTGAATTTTTTCAACACAAAAGATATGGTCTATTTTACCCGCTAAATATTATCCGATGACCACCCAAATTGGTAGGCTTCTTCCCTGCCCTAAACTCTAGCCACATGCGAAATACCGCATCGATTGGTCTATAATTGCGACCTGTATAGCTACTGCAAAATCCGACATTTTTTCAGTATTTGGTCCATTTCAACCCCTAAACATTTGGCGATCATCTCCAAAAGAAATAGGGTTCTATCCTGGTCCAAGCCCCACCTACATTCTAAATTTCGTGAAGATGGGGCCATAATTGCGACCCGTAGAGTGATTACAAATTAACATGGACAGACGGACAGACGGACGGACATACATAGCTAGATCGACTCAGCTCGGCGAGCTAGGAAGATCCATATATACTTTCCTATGTGGGAAATCAATATTTCGTGGTGTTACATAATTTGTGGCCCAATCAAACTTATAATACCCCCAACACATAGTGTTGTAGGGTATAAAAATACTTAACGTATGAATAACTGAAACAATCCCCCCAAAGACCTCATTTCCCAATTATAGGGTTAACCACTTTGCCATAACAACATTTTTATTTGTACCATGATGCGTGCGGGCATTCCATCTTTCGTCTGAATGATTTCATAATAAAAATATTTGCCAGACCTAATAATAAAAAAAATTATTTTTATTATTATTAAAAAAATAAGAAAAAAAAAAAACAATGGCTACATCCTTTCATTTGTCATTTCTAATTTCTTTTTGAATATTTTTTTCTTTATCCTTTTTGTCAAAAGAATTTAATAAAAGAATTTCACTTTACAATTTTAATGACGATACTATTCGAAATGAAAGGACTCTTGTCGTTTATTCTTCTGCTTCGTCGTCTTCTTCTTCTTCTTCTTTAATCCTCTCTCTCTGTGTGATTATCCTACGAATGTCTGTCTATTAATTTACATTTCAGTTGTCCATCCAACTGTCGCTCTCGGTCTGTCGGTCAGTAGTTTTGATATTTCTTCAAAAAGACTGACAAAAAAAAAATTAAATAGTTTCTGCACATGTGCTTGCGAGTGTGTGTGTGTGGGTGTGTGTGTGTCGGGCTTCATGTGAGTGTATGTGTGTGTCTTGCATTTTAATATGCAGAATTAAAATGTTTACATTTTCATTAGAAAAATTACACATCTTTATGTTCGTTTCAAATGTACACATGTGGAAGAATTTAATGATGATAATATTTTTCCTGGCCATACTTAAATATTACTTTTAATATTTTTGACCAGAGTCGAAGCGGAGAAAATAGAAAACCGGTTAAGAAAGTCCTAAAGTCGGGCGGGGCCAACTTTATGATACCCTACACCACTTTGCTAATTTAGTAGAGCTCCACATAACAATTAAAAGATTTTTTGGGAGAATTATAATTATAATTTAAAGTTCAAAGGACTGAATATGCCGAAGCATTTGTATCTTTTAAATTCGGACTTGTATTGCCCATTTGGTGCACAATTAATTTGAAATCGGATAAAGATATATATGGGAGCTATATCCAAATCGGAACCTATCTCGATAAAATTTGCAAAGATATTTCTGAGCTGTATTTGATATATTTCCCTGAAAATCGTCGTTACGGAGTGCATATTACAGCTGTGGGTAACAAATATGACAAATCGGATGAACAGTATATATGGGAGCTATAGCTATATCTAAACCGATCTTCACCAAATTTGACATACCAGCTTCTAGCTTCAATTTGGTCGTAAGTGCCAAATTTCATCCCATTTGGGCAAATATTAGACGTTTGGTGCACAATAAAAGATAAATCTGACGAAGTTATATATAGGAGCTATATCCAAATCTGAACCGATCTGGATAAGATTTAGCAAACGTATTTCTGAGCTGTATTTGATAGATTTCCCCAAATATTGTTGTTACAGAGAGCTTATTACGGCTGCGGAGGACAAAAATAACAAATCGGATGAACAGTTATATGTGGGAGCTATAGCTATATCTGAACCGATTTCGATCAAATTTGGCATACTTATTTTGAGGTCTAATCTGATCGTACGTGCAAACTTCCATACTATTCGACTTGATATTACTCGTTTGGTGCACAATAAAAAGCAAATCGGACGAAGTTATATATGAGAGCTATATCTAAATTTTGACCGATTATCTCCAATTTCAATAGGGTTCGTCCTTGGACCAAACAAATGATCTGTGCAAAATTTCATCTGGATCGGGCAATAAATGCGACCTGTACTTTGTTTACAAAAATACATGGACAGACGGACGGACGGACATGCATAAATCGACTCAGAATGTGATTCTATGCAGATCATCAAAAGGAACTATGGGTCTATCTCGTTTCCTTCTCCATGTTACAAACAAATGCACAAAGACATAATACCCTGACCACCTTGTGGTGTAGGGTATAAACATGGATATGGAATTCCCCCTCCGCCAAGAGATTTTCAAAATTCTGAATTTTTATACCCTACACCACATAGTGGTTAGGGTATTATGTCTTTGTGCATTCGTTTGTAACATGGAGAAGGAAACGAGATAGACCCATAGCTACTTTCGAGGATCTCCATAGAATCACATTTTGAGTCGATTTATGCATGTCCGTCCGTCCGTCTGCCCATGTATTTTTGTAAACAAAATGCAGGTCGCATTTATTACCCGATCCAGATGAAATTTTGCACAAATTATTTGTGTGACCCAAGGACGAACCCTATTGAAATTGGAGATAATCGGTCAAAATTTAGTTATAGCTCCCATATATATCTTCGTCCGATTTGCCTTTTATTGTGCAACAAGCGAGTAATATCTGCCCGAATAGTATGAGATTTTGCACATACAACCAAATTAGGCCTGAAAATAAGTATGCCAAATTTGATCGAAATCGGTTCAGATATAGCTATAGCTCCCATATATATTGTTCATCTGATTTGTTATTTTTGTCCTCCACAGCCTCTGTAAATACACTCTGTAACAACAATATTTGGGGAAATATATCAAATGCAGCTCAGAAATACCTTTGCTAAATTTTTTCGAGATCGGTTCAGATTTGGATATGGCTCCCATATATAACTTCGTCCGATTTACCTTTTATTGTGCACCAAACGTCTAATATTTGTCCAAATGGGATGGAATTTGGCACTTACGACCGAATTGAGCCTAGAAGCTAGTCAATGTCAAATTTGGTGAAGATCGGTTCGGAAATAGCTATAGCTCCCATATATATTGTTCATCCGATTTTAGGTTTCTTGTGCACTATATGGCTAATATCAGTCCAAATGGTGTGAGTTTTGCTACATCCGACCGAATTCAGCCTACAAGCATGTGCTTCAAATTTGGGGGAAAAGCGCTTCAGATATAGCTATAGCTCCCATATATATGTTTCATCCGATTTTGGTGTTTAAGGGACTTAATTCTTCGTCCGATTTTAGGTTTTTTGTGCACTAAATGGCTAATATCCGTCCAAATGGTGTGAGTATTACTACATCCGACCGAATTCAGTCCACAAGCATGTGCTTCAAATTTGGGGGAAATCGCTTCAGATATAGCTATAGCTCCCATATATATGTTTCATCCGATTTTGGTGTTTAAGTCCCTTACATACGTTATATGCACTCCACAAGACTGATATTTAGCACCAGATATCAGATACAGCCTAGCAATTCATAGATCCAGTTTCATCAAGTTCCGGTCAGATTTGGATATAGCTCCCCTATATATCTTCGTCCGATTTTAAGTTTTTTGTACACCAAATTGCTAATATCCGTCCAAATGATGTGAATTTTTGCTACATCCACCGAATTCAGCCTGCAAGCATGTGCTTCAAATTTGGTGAAAACCGCTTCCGATAAAGCTATAGCTCCCATATATATGTCTCATCCGATTTTGGTGTTTAAGTCCCTCACATTCGTAATTTATACCCCATAAAAATGATATTTGGCACCAGATATTCGATTCAGTCCAGCAATACATGATTCAAATTTTATCAAGTTCGGATCAGATTTGGATATAGGTCCCCTATATATCTTCATCCGATTTTAAATTTCTTATGCACCAAATGTCTAATTTCAGCCCAAAGTGAGTGTAAAGTTGCACTTCCAAGCGAATTCATTCAAGAAGTTAATACTTAAAATATGAGGAAAATCGCTTCAGACATAGCTCTAGCTCCATATATATGTTTCCCCCGATTTTGGTGTTTAAATCTCCAACTTTCGGAATATGCACTCTACCATAGTCATATATTTTATACCAGATATCTCATAGAGCTCCGAAATGCGCAATATAAACCTTTCTTTTACGAGAGCTCTACCAAATATACATAGTGGTGTAGGTGATCCCATAGTCGGCCATGCCCGACTTTTGAGCTTTACTTACAGGTTTTTACGATTTACGATTTGGAATAGTATTTTCTAGAAATCCTTAATTCACTCATGTGGAAATCCCCCTTTTGCCCACGCTCCTGTCTGCCAAATAAACGCCCACACATATTTTCCTCAAATTGCTTTTGTTGCCTTGAATTGCTTTTGTGTTCTTGTTGTTGTTGTCGTTGTTGCTGTTGCAGAAAATCACAAGGTGATTATTTGTTATGTAACAAAACAATAATAATAATAACAATATGTTTTAAAAAAGTCTAGACATGAAATGTATAAATAAATATAGTTTGTTCAGCTATGGATGGCAGAGCAAACGATGATGGGCCGGGCCAATGGAAAATGTTTAGAAAATTATGGCAAGGATTAGATGTTTGAAATTTCGGTAGCCTAAATATTTCTTAACTCGATTGGATGGTTGTTTATGAGCAGTAGCATGTAGTAGAAAATTGCGTAATTTACATACATATGTAGAAATTGTAAAATTATGAACTGACCGAGTCGTAGACTTAAGGGGTGAGTGAAGGATGCTGGAAATATTGCTAAAGAAATTAGTTGGTGCTGGAGGGGTCTAAGAAGATTCTGGAATGTGGCTGATTGACTGACTGAGGAATTATTAAATTCAAGGGGAATGCCGATAAGCTTTAATATTAATTTTTAACTATTATAAATGCAGCAAAGTTCAGCGGGTCCGAATTTTTAATACCCTCCACCGTTTTGAAGGATTTTGAAAATTTTCCAAAAATACCGCTCAAAGGAAAACCGTTACGAAGACGTGTTCCCGTATTTACAATTTCTCTATTACCCATTACGAGCTTTAAATACGAAATTTACATCAATTCCGGTAAAAAGGTGTAAAATCACCAAAATACCAAATGTCGGGGGTACCGGTGTATGGGGGATATATTATATCTAGGACCTATATAGACAAAGGAACTCCTTGCGTAGACAATTTTATTGAAAAATGTGACTAAAATCATCAAAATACCGAATATCGGTTATTAGGAAGAAATACGATATCGTGGGCCAATATCGTCTGCTGTAATCACGCTAGAGTCAAACAGAATAAATATTAAGGAAGCAAAAATTTTTCACAGATCAGTCTTTTGTCTGCAGGCAGGTCAAGTTCGAAGATGGGGTATATCGGTCCACGATATCGTCTAGCCCCCATTCTAACGTACCTCCCGAAACTAGGTATTTTAATGATTTTATCCACATTTTTCAATGGATCTGTCTTAAAATTAACACAAGGAGTTCTGTGCAAGTATTTTACTCCCTGGAAGAGAATTTTTTTATAGGTCCACGATATCGTATAACCCTCATACAACGGTACCCCCCGATATTTGGTATTTTGATTATTTTAGCCACATTTTGCAATAAAATTGTCTGAAGATCCACCAAAGGATTTCTTTCTGAGTACTTTGACCTGGAAGATTTTTGTCTATATAGGTCCACGATATTGTATATCCCCAATATAACAGTACCTCCCTATATTCGGTGTTTTAATGATTTTAACAAAAAAAAAAATATTGGAATTGTCAAAAAATCTATGGTAGAAGTTCTTTCCAAGCACTTTACTACCTGCCAGAGAAATATCTACATAGGTCCACGATATCGTTTAGCCCATAGAGAACGGTACCGCCAGATATTCAATATTTTGACGATTTTAGGGACGTTGTTTCAAATTTCGTACCTAGAATTCGTAATGGGTACTATAGCCTATGACAAAAAATCGCTTATGCAGGCCCACGTCTTCCTATAGCCTCCATATAATGGTACAGCTCAATGCTCGGTATTTTGATAATTTCTGCGGCATTATTCACGGAGTTGTTTCAAATTTCGTATTTAAAATTTGTAATGGAAAATGACAGAAAATTTTCTATGCAGGTCCAGGTCTTCGTGCAGGCCCCTCCCTATATTTGGTATTTTGATGATTTTAGCTACATTATTCACCGGATTTTTTTTTTAAGTTTTCGTATTTCGTGCTAGTGTGTGGTTTTGGTACCAAAAATAGTGGACAGATATTGCCCATCTCCGAACTTTAAATTTGATAATAATATTACGATGTAACAAGGTTGGACCAAATCGGGAGAGATAAAAAAAATGCAACCAATATCACACTGCTGTCATTTCTAAGCCAGTCGTCCTACCGCTGTTAAAATTATTCCAGTGACAGCTCTTTATATTGTTTACAAGCGTACAAAAGCATTTTGGTGAGAATTTTTCAGAAAAAAGTTATTCGTGATGGAATTCAAGCGTGATAGTGTGATTTCTTTATATTTGGCTGGAAAACCACAAGTGGCTATCGTTAGAGCACTCCAGCATTTAAATGTGAATAAATCTTTTGTGTCTCGTACCATCGCTTGTTACTCAGTCGGTGATACTGGTAGCCCGACGTCAAGGTGGTTTAAGTGAACGGAAGAAAACAGCAACATTAGCAAATATGGTTCGAAAAGTAAAGAAACGACTTGATCGAAACCCGCGTCGCAGTGACCGAAAAATGGCTCGTGAGCTGAACATATCGCAATATTCTATTCGGCAAATATTGAAAAATTAGCTCGAGGTAAAGCCATTGAAATTCCAAAAAGTGCTGGAACTTACACCGCGACAGAAAGAAAATAGTCTCAAAAGGGCTAAAAAGTTGCTTCGCTTGGCCGAAAATGGTTAACTGCCGAATTTTTTTTTCTCCGATTATAAATCATTCGTTGTCCAGGAGTTTGTAAACAAATAAAATTATTGTGTTTACTTGCCAAAGAGGTCAGCGGAAAAAGTGCACCTTCGGCTGGCCACCAGAAATCAAGAACCGGCCATTGTGATGGCGTGGGCTGCCATAACAGCCGATGGTCGCTCTCCCTCGTATTAATCGGCCGTGGCATCAGAAAAATGCCGAATATTATCGCGAAAATATTGTGGAGGGTGTATTAAAGCCTTGGGCACGCAAACATTTTGCCCGCAGACCTTGGACATTCCAACGGGACTCAGAACCATCGCACTCAGCACGCGGCACCCATACCCAAGAATGGTGGATGGAGGTTCCTGGCTTCATTTAAGCGCACAATGGCCACCAAAATCTCCGGATACCAATCCGTTGGACTATTGTGTCTGGAGTATTTGGAATGCAAGGTTGACACTAAAAAATACCAAAGTGTCGATCATCTCAAGCAAGCGCGTCGCCGGGAATGGGCCAAAAAACCGCAGAACAATATTCGGACAGCGTGTGACGATTTCATTGGCCGTTTAAAGGTCATAATTGGTGACAAAGTGGATCAATTCGAACAAATCTAAACTAATTGTAAGATTTGATGCTATTTCCGACATTTTTGCTTTCAATCAATAAATTTTTTTAAAAAAATGTAAAAATTATGGTGTTTGACTTTGTTGCAGCTTTTTTATCTCACCCTGTATTTTCATAATCAGCATTAAATACTAAGTCGATTCAATGAAGTCCGTCTGTCTTTTTGTCCGTCTGTCATTTGATATATATGACGTAGAGCCTCAAAATTTGGCAGAAACATTTGTATTGTGTCTAGTATGGTTGGTATTGAAAATGGTATAACTGTCATAAAGCGGTACCTCCCGATATCTGCTATTTTGATGATTTTCCCCACTTTTTTCCCAATTTTTTTTAGAAATCCTTGGAAAGAATTTTTTAAAACTCCATCTTGATTGGCTTGGTTTTATTTTTGTTAGCAATGTCAAAGTTTAGGCTAGCGTCTGTCCTTAAACGCTGGGTTGAGATATAACTTTCTATGAGGTCAACAATTCCTTCTCGTAGTATCTGACCCCCTTCAATTCGAGTGCTGATTTCCGACATTCGGCTGTCCTGGGTTATTCAGATTTTAAACAGCATGTTTTTTATACCCTGCACCACATAGTGATAAGGGTATTATGTCTTTGTGCATTTGTCTGTAACATGAAGAAGAAAACGAGATAGACCCATAGTTCCTTTTGGTGATCAGCATAGAATCACATTTTGAGTCGATTTATGCATGTCCGTCCGTCTATCCGTTCGTCCGTCTGTGCATGTATTTTTGTAAACAAAATGCAGGTCGCATTTATTATACGATTGAGATGAAATTTTCTAGATAACATTTTATTTGGCTCAAGGACGAACCCTATTGAAATTGGTAAAAATCGGTCCAAAATTTAGATATAGCTCCCATATATATCTTCATCCGATTTTAGGTTTCTTGTGCACCAAATGGCTAATATCAGTCCAAATGGTGTGAATTTTGCTACAACCGACCGAACTCAGCCTACAAGCATGTGCATCAAATTTGGTGAAAATCGGTTGAGATATAGCTATAGCTCCCATATATATCTTGATCCGATTTGGTGTTTAAGTCCCTTACATTCGTAATAAGCACTCCACGAGACTGATATTTTGCACCAGATATCAGAAACAGCCTAGCAATTCATGATTCAAATTTTATCAAGATCGATTCCGATTTGGATATAGCTCTCATATATATCTTCAGCCGATTTTAGGTTTCTTGTGCACCAAATGGTGTGAATTTTCGGCACTTCAGACCGAATTTAGTATAGAAATAAGTCATTCAAATTTGGTGCACGATACAAGAATATTAAATTGGTACCAGATATCAGATGCAGCCAAGAAATAGCTGTTTTCAATTTTATGAAGATCGGCTCAGATTTGGATGTAGCCTCCATATATATCATTATTCGATTTCAGGTTTATTGTGCACCAAGTAACTAATATTAGCCCAAATAGAGTGAATTTTCGAAATTCAACCGAGTTTAGCATAGAATAAGAGAGTTTCAAATTTGCTCCCATATATATGTTTCATCCGATTTGGTTTTTTAAATCTCCATCTTTCGGAATATGCACCCTACCATAATGATATTTTGTACCAGATATGTCATAGAGCTCAGAAATGCCCAATATAAACCTTTCTTTTACGAGAGTTCTACTAAATATTCATAGTGGTGTAGGGTATCATATAGTCGGCCCCGCCCGACTTTTGAGCTTTCCTTACAGGTTTTCTTTATAACAACTTTCCCCATGACTGGATTTCTCAAGACAGGTAGTAATAACACTATGTTATTATGAAGACGTCCAATCTTTGCTAGCTATTCTCCATTTTCCAATAGGTCCATACACCAAATATTACAACTTCCACAAAAAGGCAAATAAAAATCATACTTGGAATTTCAAAACTTT